TTTATTTATGCGTTATATAAAAAGAAGTAGCATTAAAATATTTTTAGGTAGAGGTATTAGTTGGTCCAGATAAGGGAAAACAAGGAATAGTGCAAGATATCATTCAAGAAAGAAATTGGATTATTGTAGAAGGATTAAATACAAAGGCAATAATACGTGGAAAAAAGAAAGATTTCCCTGGAGTTTGTATACGCGTGGAACAACCATTATTAGTTACTACAGATGTACAATTAGTTGATCCTTTTGATTTGTAATTATAATTTTTTAAAACAAATATGGATTATTAGAAAATACATCATATTCATATCTTTAATTTTATTTTAGAAAAGGAACTGCTATAGAATGGAGATATACAGAAGAAGGAAAAAAAGTGAGAGTATCTTGTAGAACTGGTAGAATTATCCCAATTCCTTTAAGTAGTCAAGAAACTGTAGATTACAAATCTCCGGAATTATATATCGAGCAATCTAAAGATACTACTGTAAATGACGTAAAAGAACTAACATTCGAAGTAAGTTTTATATCTAATAAAAATATATAATTAGTATGTAACAGTATAATTAATAATTTTGATTTTTATTAATTTATAGGGAAAATTGAAAACATTTGAAATGGATATTATGGATAAAATGGGTATTAAAGAAGATCGTAAACCAAAGAAATATTATTGGTATTAATTTTGTTTAACGTATAATTAACATTTTACAAACATAATCTTCGATGTATATATAAAACTTTACTTTAAAGCGTTGTTAAATCTGTGTTTCATTTTGTTATTATTGTTGAAAATTATTTTAAACTTAATTGAAAGAAAAAGAGCAACGATCTTTTCCATAAAAGATTCGCATTGAAAATATTTATGAAATAATATATATGAAATAATATACGATATCAAAGAGTTGATAAAAGAGTTGTTTAATAACATTTAAAATATTTAACTGATAAAATATTTATAATATCAGTTTATTAAAGAATTTATTAAAGACAAGCCATTTTTATTATTATTACTTTTATATTAACACACATACATATATCACAGCATGATTTTTAACAAACGCGAACCTAGAAACGAATGTCAGTCTACATTTAAATACTTTAATGATGCATTATATTAACATTTCTTTCTTTTTTTTACATTATATATGCCATATTTCTAGAATAATTATATTTTGAATTTTTCCACTCTTTATTTACAAATTATTTTTCTCTATTTATTTCATAACATCGTATTAAACAAAAACATGTTTATACATACGTTGTTCTTTAGATCAAACTTCAATACAAACTAATAGTAGATGATTAGAAAAGATATTCCTCACGTATGCAAACGGACGTTATACATTGTACTCAATAGTACCACAATATCGAAAAAAAGAATTCTTTCTCGCAGAGATTTTCAAATAATTATTTAGCGATATAATCTTGATATACATGTACATATATAAGCAGAATCCTATAGTAAATTTTCAACGAAATATTTGATTATTCTATTTTTTGAAAGTAGATGAAAAGATACACTAAATATTCGCAATAAAATCCGATTTCGAACACAAGAATCATCCAAACACGTATTGTATCGTTCAAATTCAATATAAAAATTGCATTCTATGAAACCATTGCACTTGTTTAAAATTCGTTGTATTGCATCCATGGTGTCACGATATACATACGACACGTTTATCGGAATTGACTACCATTTACGACGATTTGGTGGCAGGGTGCCTGACTAGGAGGTTCACTTCGCCATCGTGTAGTTTCTTCATAAGAGACCACGCTTCGATTCTTGACATACGTGTCACATCATATCCATTCACTTGTAATAACTGGTCCCCTGCCTTTAAGGCACCTGTTTTTTCAGCAGCACCTCCTACATCACAATATTTATTATATATACAATTTTAAGATGCGATTATCAATCGAAAACACAACGTACCGGTAAATATTTTTTTAATCAGCAATGGCCTGTCCCCAAGGGGGCTGTCTCTACCTCCTTCGAGACTGAATCCCAAACCAGTTCCGTCCTTGTAAACTGCTACAACCGACGGTGGACCCCACGCAGTGTCTTCTGCAGTATCGTTCGTCTCGAATCCTTCGAGAACAAAATCTGCTCGGTTATTATAAATAAAACCTTTCCGTTTAACGAAATTTTTCGAAAATTCGAATCTCACCTTCGATGATAGTTTCGACGCTCGCGGTTCGTGATTTCAATTTGCAAGACCCTTCCTCCGTCCTCGATCGAGAGACAACCAAAACAACTTCCGATCTGGGCTGCTTGAGCACCGCTATGCTCTCTCTGTGCGTGAGACCTTGCGTGCTTCTTCCATTTATACTCAGAATCCTATCCCCTCTCTGCACACGACCATCCTTGTCGGCTATGGAATGGGCCAGAACTCGATGAATAGTGATTTCCTTGATCTCGCAATCCGCTCCACCGGCCAAAGTGATTCCAACGCTACCGGTCGGATTCTCCTTGTGAAGCAACACAACGATCACGTCCTGAGCACCTCGAGTTTCTTCCAGACTCGCCTCTTCGACCAGCTGCGCCAATTCCTGTTGCGAGATCAAACTCGTGCTGCTCGCCAACGAACTGATACTTCCAAATTGTTCGCTGCAACATCTGTCCGTGTCCATATCGATTCCAACCGGAGACACATTTTCGTCCACGCTACTGTCCAAACTGGGAAATCGGTTATGACCAGTTCCAACGCTCTGCGTTTGCGCATTACCGGTAAAGTTCACCTCCACAGCCTTCTTCATATCCGTGACACTCACGCTTCTTCGACCGAGATTTCTCGATGTTGGAATTTTCGACAACGTCGATTTCGATTTCTCCACTTCCATCATCTCGTCCGCGCTATTCTCGGCCAATCTTGATTTTTCCAATATCGACGCTTTCGAGAACGATTTATGATCCTCGTTCCAATACTCGTTCAACATGCTCGAGCTTCTTCTCATGTATCGATTGTCCCTCGATTCCCATAAAGATTTTCCCAAATTACTCTGGCTGTTCGAGAAAACGTTGCTCTTCTCCGTTCTCGTCTCACCGCTTTGACCTCGTGCCGATTTCGTCTCCGCCTTCGCTCCCAGGATATCCTCCAGACTCATCTGACTCTTGGACCGACCAAAACTTCCCTCGTCCACGTGTATCGCCGATCTAGATCTGCTCTTTGTCGTGAGTATCGTCAATAGATCGTTCTGATCCTCGGAAGATTTCTTCGGAGGTAAGCAACGCGGTTGCTTCGTCAATCTGGATTCATTTTCGTTCTCCTGAATTCGTCTACTCGGCGAGGACAAATCGATCGAGCCGTACCGTTGTTTCTCCATTACGACAGATTTATTATTGTTCCTCCTCTGATCGTTGTCCACGGGATCGATATCGGCCGACTTTTTCTCCACTTTATCGATCGGTTTCTCCTCGATCGATCTGGCCAGAGCCTTCGCCTCCGTGCGAACCCACATTTTCAAATCGTTCGAGGGCTCGATCGAGGTCTCGATATTGGACGGCCTCGCCACGTTGTTGTTCGAGTGCGAAGCGACGTTCATCTTCGAATCGGATCGTTCGGTCACCTTTTGAAAAGGATCCTCCTCTCCCAACGGATCCGTCACCTCGATGTAAGCGATTTTCACCACGTCTTTCGTACTCGAAACGTTATTTTTCCCCCGATTTTTCTGATAACCGTTTTCTTCCCCGTTTTCGCCACCGCCGATCATCGATCGCCCCTTGTCGTCGGCAAACTTCCTTTGGATCAGTGGCGATCCGTTCAGATCCCTGCCGCTACGGCATCTGGCGCTCGCCAGAATGTTCTTGCGATTTATGGCCTCCACGCTCTGAGGTTTGAGCACCCGTCGGGACAGTGACTCGGCGCTCGCCTGTGAGCCTGAGGTGAGAGTCGAGGAGGTGCTGCAATTGGTGTCGGTACTGTTCGATCGTTTCAACTGTCTCTGAGGTATTTGGGAACCGTTTCTCTGAGAACCGTCCGCGTTCGATTCCCTCGCCTGGTTGTAGCTTCTGGTTGGGCTGTCTATGATCAGGGATCGCCGTTGATAATTGTTCTCCGTGGACACGTACGATCTCTCGGACGAAATGGTGGAGCGTTCCGACGGGACAGGGGACGTGGGTGGGCTGAAGCCCCGGG